ACTGGGAGGAGGGTAGAGAGAATAGTGCAACAATGAATGAGTGGAAGCCCAAAATCTCTGTAAATGTTTATGAAAATTAATATAATTATAGAATCATAAAAAAAGATGGGGTGATAACAGGCATAGGTCCGTGTATTATGTAAAATACAATGCATTATGAATGATTGTATAAAACAATGCTGTGGTGTAGGAGAAGAGTACTTAACATTCCATGGTTGGCCAAGAGGACAGACAGGTATGTCTTGGAGAGGATGCAGCTAGAGTCCTCTTTGGAGGCAAGAATGATGAGGCTTTGCCTCACATACTTAAGGCATGTTGCTAGGAGGAGCTATTCCTTGGAGAAGGACATGATGCTGGGAAGAGTGGAGGGTTGGCAAAGGAGGGGAAGACCCTCAACCAGGTGGACTGACACGGTGACTGCTGCAATGGGCTCTTGTGTGTCAGAAAGTGTGAGGATGGGGCAGGATATAACAGGTTCAGATCTTTTGTTCATAGGGTCACTATGAGTCGTACTTGACTCAACGGCACCTAACAACAACATATATGAAACACAACGTATGGTTGTATGCAAAACAGTAAGCCCCTTACCTTGCCCCCAAAACAACCCAACAAAAAAGCCCCACATCAAACAGGTGCTTAAAAAAAAAAACTAACTGGGAGGAGGAACAAATAGAGCATCTTGTGGGGTTCGTTTCTGTGTCACAGAATATTTTTGAACATCCTTCTGAGAATTTTATCATGTGTGTGGATATGAGAGAAGAGAGATGTGAAGATGCTGTTTCTGGACTCTCAGTTCTTTCATTCACCTGTCCCTATGCCAGTTTTTGTCTGAGAGTCACTGTTCAATATTTGAGTCCTCTGTTGCTGCCATTGTGTCAATTCATCTCACCTAAGAACTTCCTCTTTCTCATGGACCCTCACCTTTACCAAGCATATCCTTCAGCAGGGACTGGTCCTACCCGACAGTACGTACAAAGTGCTTGAGCCAAGAGTCGCCATCCCTGCTTCTAACGAGCATTCTGGCATACTTCTAAAACGTGTGTTTGGTCTCCTGGGAGCCCACATTCTTTACCAAGAACCAAATTTCAAAGGCATCAATTTTTCTTTGGTCTGTATCCACACTCATGCTTTTGTATAATAAAGAAATGACTAAAAATTCAGTTGTTGTTGTTGTTATGTGCCGTCGAGTCGTTTCCGACTCATAGCGACCCTATGCACAACAGCCCTAAACCCTGCTCTATCCTGCGCCAACCGCAC